CTGGCTGACTGTCTACTTGTAACTGACTGACTGGCTGATAGAATGACTGATTATATAACTGACTGAATGAGCAACTTACAGTACCAGATACTGACAAATGGAACAAATGACTGACTGACTGACTTTCTGTGCAATTGGGCACTGGACCGGCTGACAGAATGACTGATTGAACAACTGACTGACTGACTGTGCAGTTGGCTACCTGACTGACTGACAGAATTAGTGATTGAGCAGCTGACTGACTGACTGACTGTGCAGTTAGGTGCCTGACTGGCTGACAGAATGACTGATTGAACAACTGACTGACTGTGCAGTTGGCTACCTGACTGGCTGACAGAGTGACTGATTGAGCAACTGACTGACTGACTGTGCAGTTAGGTGCCTGACTGGCTGACAGAATGTCTCATTGAGCAACTGACTGACTGACTGTGACAGAGTGACTGATTGAGCAACTGACTGACTGACTGACTGTGCAGTTAGGTGCCTGACTGGCTGACAGAATGTCTCATTGAGCAACTGACTGACTGACTGTGACAGAATGACTGATTGAGCAACTGACTGACTGACTGACTGTGCAGTTGGCTACCTGACTGACTGACGGAATTACTGATTGAGCAACTGACTGACTGACTGACTATGCAGTTAGGTGCCTGACTGGCTGACAGAATGACTGATTGAACAACTGACTGACTGTGCAGTTGGCTACCTGACTGGCTGACAGAGTGACTGACTGAGCAACTGACTGACTGACTGACTGTGCAGTTGGGTACCCACCTGACTGACAGAATGTCTCATTGAGCAACTGACTGACTGACTGTGACAGAATGACTGATTGAGCAACTGACTGACTGACTGTGCAGTTGAGTGCCTGACTAGCTGACAGAATAACTGATTGAACAACTGACTGACTGTGCAGTTGGTTACCTGACTGGCTGACAGAATGACTGATTGATCAATTGACTGACTGACTGACAGAATGTCTGATTGAGCAACTGTCTGACTGACTGACTGTGCAGTTGAGTGCCTGACTAGCTGACAGAATGACTGATTGAACAACTGACTGACTGTACAGTTGGCTACCTGACTGGCTGACAGAGTGACTGATTGAGCAACTGACTGACTGACTGACTGTGCAGTTGGGTACCTGACTGACTGACAGAATGTCTCATTAAGCAACTGAGTGACTGACTGTGACAGAATGACTGATTGAGCAACTGACTGACTGTGCAGTTGGCTACCTGACTGGCTGACAGAATGACTGATTGAGCAATTGACTGACTGACTGACTGACTGTGCAGTTGGGTACCTGACTGACTGACAGAATGTCTGATTGAGCAACTGACTGACTGACTGACTATGCAGTTGGGCACCTTACCGGCTAACAGAATGACTGATTGAGCAAATAACTGACTGACTGACTGTGCAGCTGGGCACCTTACTGGCTGACAGAATGACTGATTGAGCAAATAACTGACTGACGGACTGTGCAGTTGGGCACCTTACTGACTGACAGAATGACTGATTGAGCAACTGACTGAGTGACTGACTAAACTGAGAAACTTACCAAGTGACTGACTAACTGAAAGCAACTGACTGACTAACTTAGGGACTGACTGGGGTCCGGTCATGTTTGCTCACTGGTATTCATGAGAATGTGACACAGTCGAACCTTTTTAATATGGGCACTAAGGGGGCCATAGATAGTGTCCATATTAATCGGATGTCTGTATTAAGCAGCTTGAATTTAGAAAGGGCTTTCTTTCCTTCAGGATAAAGCAAAATGTCCGTAATTATAAGGTTTCTGTATTAAGTGAGTGTCCATAAAGCAAGGTCTGAATGTTAATGGGAAGCTGGTCTGTTTGTATGCATAATTAAATGGTGACGAGTGAAATTAGGGAATAATTTCACCTGCGTTTTGTCCAAATCCAAGTAACTTCCCGAGCCTTTAGGTGAAGGATTTGGACAAAATGCAAGGGAAATTATTTCCTAATTTCACGAGTCTACCATTTGATTACCCATTAATATCATGGGTGATGAATTAAGTTCGCAATCATGGATTTTTGAGATGTTTATCCTGGATCATATGATTGAGGGCGAGAACTCTCTCAAAAGTTAAGAGCTTAAGTTTGCCTTAAGTTCCGAATTTTCAAAATATTTCGACAAAATACCTGTCAGAATCCTTCTTGATGTGCTTTTTGGCGTGTTTAGGTTTTCTAAAGCATCTTTTAATGCCCTGACATCTTCATTCAATGATAACGTTTTAAATTTCCATCGCCAACTTAGCACTGAGACGTACAAAAGGTTGCCATTAATGCTGAAATCTTACGCCAAAATGAAGGAATAATTTGTCACCTATGATATTATGAAAGTAACTGACGAGCTTCATTGAACATTTTAAACTTTTGTTTCCAGGTCAGATGCCACAGAAAGGCTGGACAAGGACTTCACGAGCAAGGAGCCTCTGTTATCTTCAGTTCTGTATGTGCTCTATGTTTTGCTCTGTAATCCAGCTCTTGAGTGAACCAGATAAACAGGATTGTTGGCCAGGTGATTTCAAAGTTTGATTAAGCTAATCCAGGGAAAGCTGTTGTAATATAGATATATTGTACCTAATTCTTTCATTTCACAGTTATTTCACCATCAAGTGTACCACTTTTGGGAGTAGAAGTTTATCAATCTTACTTTTTCCAATAAAACAACAACAACAACAACAACAACAAAAACTGAAAAAACGTGCAAAATAAAATGCAACATAAAAGAGCAAAATTCCAAAATAACATTAAATCAAGTACAGTTGTACAGCTTGGTCAACATTATTATGGTGAAAATAAAATAATTGAACCCAGGACCATCCAATTGAATGCCTTCCCGAACAGCTACAGCTGTTGGTGATTCAGTGACTGGTACATCAAAAGTGTATAAAAGAAATCAGCAGGATTGAACAAATATTTTATTATTGACCTCTAAATTAGTAATATTGGTACTTCAAGACCAACCAAATAAAATCGTTTTTTTTAAGGAATGCATTCAACATTTCTGTTGAACTTTGTATGAATTATACATTTTACGTTAATGCTTACAATCACCAGTTTTATGTCTGCAAGGAATCACAGTACAAAGACAGCTGAAACGCATTGAAATCTTTTTGGTTTCAAGAACAAAAATAATTTGATTGATTTGATGGAAAATTGCAAGAGACATGCACTTGTTGGTGAAGTACTCATAATCAGAAAACTTAAATGCAAAAACCTAGGTCATTATAAGTTTTCTCCTGGATTAGCATTTATCGACTTTGTTCAACTGCGTCACAATGTTTAAACCAATAGCCAAGTTCTGCTGATAACAGTAATAATAATAATAATAATAATAATAATAATAATTATTATTATTATTATGTTATTATTATAGTACCTGTTAGCGCAGATATGCAATCCATATTGTACCCTTCAAATTTCTTACCACATTGATCTATTCAAATGACTGTCTGACTTAATAACTGAATGGGATGACTGTGATGGCAAGGATAACCTAAAAAGCATGACTACTGTAACTGGGATGACTGGAATTACTGTGATGAATAACATGACTGGGATGACTAGGATGACTGGAATGACTAGGGTGACTAGGATGACTAAATTGACTGGGATGACTAGAGTGACTGGGATGACTGGAATGTCTAAGATGACTGGGATGACTAGGGTGACTAGGATGCAGGGTTCTCAATAGATTTTTAAGTAGGAGGTGATCACTGATAAAGTAGGAGGCTCTTCAGCAAAGCCAGAGGTGTCAAAACAAAGCAAAGAAAAGCGACTTAAACACAAAGTAAGCGGCTATAAATCCGAAAGTAAGCGGCGATCAATCGCCGGGTGCCGCCTTCTATTGAGAACCCTGAGGATGACTAGGTTGACTGGGACCCAGTGATTCAGATCCATGAAAAAGTGTTTAGGACAAATGTCCTAAAAAGCTGAATTTTCTTAGGACATTTTTAGTTTTTGTCAGACATTATTTTTTTTATTGTGACAGAATAGATGAAAAATAGATCCTTTCAAGATACGTCTAGTTTAAAAAATACTTAAAATATAATTTCACACGTAAAAGGTTTAGGAGACCTATTTCTTTTGTTAATAGCATTGCCAATGCATGACTGCATTAAACTTGAATAATTATACATCTTTCAAGTTTGAAGTTTATGTTTCCAGAATGAAATGTGAAGATACAATGTATTTTGTTTTCCTCTTTCCTTACCTATTAAACATTGAATGGATTTTGAAATTACAAACGTAGCACAAAAAAATAGTTCAAATGTTCGCCATCCATAACAAAAAAAAATGTCACAGGATATTCTTATGTTAGGGAAACATAGTCACCTAAACTGCACTTCATCTTGCCGTTTTCTTGATCATAATCCAGCCACAGTTAATTTCTTCTGTTGGATCATCGACATCATTCAATTCTTCATGAGCAACTTGCATTGTTGTGCTTTCTTTATCAGATTCGTCTTCACACTGCTTTCTTCGTTTGAAAAAATATGACGAAGGTTTTTGGCTCTTTTCAGCCATAACTAAGGTTCGCTCGAAATAGAATCAAAGATAGTGCCTGCATTATAACAAACGCTCTTGTTGGCATTCATCTGACCAATTGCACGCACTGTGAGATCTTTGTAAAATACATCCAAGATGGCAGCGGTTGCATTGTTTGGTGCACAAATTGCAGCTCAAACTAGGGATATCTTCCCTATATGGAAAATTGTACCCATCTGTAACATTTATCACTACCACAAGACACATTTAGAGTATAATTTAGGTAAATTTTTTTTGGACAAATAAAAATTGTCTCGGACCATGTTCGAAGACTGAGGTAAATCTGAATCACTGCTGGAATGACTGGGATCACTAGCATGACTTGGGTGACTGGGATGACTGGGGTCACTAGGACGACTTGAATGGCTGGGATGACACTGCTGACTGGGGTGACTGAGATGACTGGGACTTTTGGGATTACTAACATGACTGGCGTGGGATGACTAGGCTGACTGGAATGACTAAGATGACTAGGAAAACTAGGGTGACTGGGATGACTAGGATGACTTGGATGACTGGATTGACTGGGATGACTGGGATCACTAGAATTACTGGGACAACTAGGATGACTGGGATGACTGGGATGACTAGGGTGACTAGGATGACATGGATTACTGGGATGACTGAGATGACATGGATTACTGGGATGACTAGGTGGACTCGGATGACTGGGATGACGTACTTGACTACTGTGACTGGGATGACGTACTTGACTACTATGACTGGGATGACTGGGTTGACTAGGATGACTGAGAGGACTGGGATGACTAGGATCACTGGGATAACTAGGATGACTGGGATGACTTATTTGACAACTATGACTGGGATGAATAGGATGACTGGGATAACTTGGATGACTGGGATGACTTAGTTGACTACTATGACTGGGATGACTAGGATGACTAGAGTGACTAGGACGACTGGAATGTCTAAGATGACTGGGATGACTAGGGTGACTAGGATGACTAGGTTGACTGGCACCCAGTGATTCAGATCCATGAAAAAGTGTTTAGGACAAATGTCCTAAAAAGCTGAATTTTCTTAGGACATTTTTAGTTTTTGTCAGACATCATTTTTTTTATTGTGACAGAATAGATGAAAATTAGATCCTTTCAAGATACTTCTAGTTTAAAAAATGCGTAAAATATAATTTCACACGTAAAAGGTGTAGGAGACCCATTTCTTTTGTTAAGAGCATTGCCAATGCATGACTGCATTAAACTTGAATAATTATACCTCTTTCAAGTTTGAAGTTTATGTTTCCAAAATGAAATGTGAAGATACAATGTATTTTGTTTTCCTCTATCCTTACCTATTAAACATCGAATGGATTTTGAAATTACAAACATAGCACCATAAAATGTTCAAATGTGCGACTTCCATAACAAAAAAAACTGTCACAGGATATTCTTATGTTAGGGAAACATAGCCACCTGAACTGCACTTCATCTTGTTGTTTTCTTGATCATAATCCAGCCACGGTTAATTTCTTCTGTTGGATCATCGACATCATTCAATTCTTCATGAGCAACTTGCATTGTTGTGCTTTCTTTATCAGATTCGTCTTCACACTGCTTTCTTCATTGGAAAAAATATGACAAAGGTTTTTGGCTCTTTTCAGCCATAACTAAGGTTCGCTCGAAATAGAATCAAAGGTAGTGCCTGCATTATAACAAACACTCCTGTTGGCTTTCATCTGACCAATTGCACGCACTGTGAGATCTTTGTAAAATACATCCAAGATGGCAGCGGTTGCATTGTTTGGTGCACAAATTGCAGCTCAAACTAGGGATATCTTCCCTATATGGAAAATTGTACCCATCTGTAACATTTATCACTACCACAAGACACATTTAGAGTATAATTTAGGTAAATTTTTTTTTGGACAAATAAAAATTGTCTCGGACCATGTCCGAAGACTGAGGTATATCTGAATCACTGCTGGAATGACTGGGATCACTAGCATGACTTGGATGACTGGGATGACTGGGATCACTAGGACGACTTGAATGGCTGGGATGACACTGCTGACTGGGGTGACTGAGATGACTGGGACTTTTGGGATTACTAACATGACTGGCGCGGGATGACTAGGCTGACTGGAATGACTAAGATGACTAGGAAAACTAGGGTGACTGGGATGACTAGGATGACTTGGATGACTGGATTGACTGGGATGACTGGGATCACTAGAATGATTGGGACAACTAGGATGACTGGGATGACTAGGGCGACTGGGATGACTGGGATCACTAGGATGACTGGGATGACATGGCTTACTGGGGTGACTGAGATGACTGGAATGACTAGGTGGACTGGGATGACGTACTTGACTACTATGACTGGGATGACTGGGTTGACTAGGATGACTGGGATGACTGAGAGGACTAGGATGACTAGGATCACTGGGATAACTATGATGACTGGGATGACTTATTTGACAACTATGACTGGGATGACTTAGTTGACTACTATGACTGGGATGACTAGGGTGACTGGGATGATTGGGATGACTGGGGTGACTAGTATGACTGGGATGACTGGTATGACTGGGATCATTAAGGTGACTGGAATAAATAAGATGACTAGGATGACTGGGTTGATTGGGATCACTAGGACGACTGGGATGACTGGGTTCATTAAAATGTACTGGGATGAATAAGATGACTGGGATGACTGGGAGGAGGGGGGGTGACTGTAATGGATAGGGTGACTAGGATGACTAGGACATTTAAAGTCATTTGCTTTGCTGACGGAAAAAATTTCCGAAGCTGTTGCTAAGTGACTTGCTTGAATACTGGCCGGACAAGGGTTTGTAAAACTGAATAACTGACTGTCTGTTGATTTTTATTCTGACTGACCAGAATCAGTGCAGAATGATCTGAAGTTTAACCCAACTGTTTCAAAAGACAGACCGATGTTAAACTGACCTGTATGACAGCTGGCGGGTCTGACCAATTCACAGTGGTCTTATTATTTGGGATTTGTACTTTAATGGTATAGTTGGTAGACTGCATATCTGTGCTGACTCGTATATTCGTTTTCTGTGAACTTGATGAATGCATTTCAAATGTCTTCGTACTTCAACCATCAATTTCCCTGCATGGAAATACGTCTTAGGAATGACTGAATGCACTTCACAATGGTGATGTGCAGTGTAGTGCTTCTTTTTGGTTGCTAATTATTTCAACTATGACAATAGTTATACAACCAATCAAATCATCAGCCAACCTAAGACATTATTTGATGGGGTTGTAGGTGGGGGGTGGGGGGAGGGTGAAGGAGAGGAGCGTTTCTTCTTAGGTTAAACTTCAGTCGTGGCAAATTGGCAAATTAATCTGTTGTTTTGTTTTAGAGCTTGAATTTCTGATTGACATTCATCAGTGCAACTACTTACCTTCCAATTCTTAAAGGTGATGTTTCAGCTGAAGTGAATAAAATGTCTAAATTCTTAAATTCAATATCGTTTTCATTTCCACGTTCGGGGAAAATTTATTCCACAGTTTTTTTCACAAGAAAATAAGATTTGGCATGGGTGAACTTGATTGTTCCTTTAATTTGTCTTAAGTGATTGTGAATTTGGATTGCGTGTCTAATCTTCAAACGTCTTTGTGGAAAACAACAGCAAGTGCTTTGATCATGAATCTTGTGGCTCTCATTCTGACATTCGTTGAATTAATTTTACCAATATAGTCAGTCTACTGCTTGCAAAATGGAATAAGAATTACACAGCAACAACAACAGCAACAATGAAATGATTGAAATAGAGTCCTCACTGAAAATGTCTGCCGCAGTGTTTTAAAGTACGTTTGACAAGCTCTGAATAAAACTGGGTGTGGAAAATTTAGTGATCTTCTGAGAGGTAACGTGGGGAGATTTTGAAAACTTGCATTCATCTTTTTCATTTCCAAAGTGATCAGCATGTTATTTCTCTATACTTGTTTAAGTAAATTACCAAGTAAAGTAAAAGAAAATAACATGTTAAAACTTTGGACTGAAAGTTCACAGTAACCTAAAGGCCTTCAGATAAGCAGTTTGTTTTGCAATTACAACGCAATCCATAAATACATGTGCAAATTGAAATTCTTATTAACAGCTGCTCGAATCAAAATCGGAGTCTTTTTTTCGGCCGTTATTTAGGCTCGTCACGCAAAGTCGTCGAGCCAAAAGACGACCGCGAAGAAGATCACACGAAAGTTTTACATCGGATTTAGAGCATAGTAAAGTTTTTTTCTGTTTGGTATTTTTCTATGTGCATGTATTTTGTGGGATGCGGTTTAATGAACAACAAACCTCTTACTGAAACAGTCTGAAATTTATTCCCCTATGTTTTTCCAACTTTTGGAGCTAAAGCAATCACAATGACGACGGCAACAACGGCGGCACATAACAGAAGGCTTCACATGCACGCTCGCTTTAATTCTTTTGTACATTTATTCGCATCTGAACGCAAAACAACAACAAAGGTAATGATCAAATTCGAGGTCAGTTTGAGAAGAACATAAACATTTAGCTATGAAATTTCAAGTTCAAGACCGCGCGCACAAATTTAAGTTTTATAGGTAAATAAAAACTGCAGCTAAAAAAATTTTAAAGGGTCGCTGATATTCGTAAGACCTCTAATTATCTTTTGAAGTGCTGATCTGAGTGCCGTCGCCGTAGTGATCTGTTAAGCTTTATTACAGTTGAAGCAGAACTTGGCTTATTCTAAGGTTCGGACAATCAGTAAAACATTACGCGCAGTAACTTTACGCTGTGTTTCTACTCCTATAAAGCGTTATTACGTAAAATTGAAACCCAATATTGTTTTCTGTTCTGGAACCTTCGCACAAGGATTTTAAGGGGTGGAAACACTGTGTAATTTTAAGGCATGTTTTTACTAGCGGCGTACCACAGGCTTATGTTTAGTGAGGTCATCAACAACTGAAGTTTATTAAAATGCAAAACTGAAGGTATGAGCACAAAGAATTGTTCAACAGTCGAACTTATTCATATTTTGCCGTCGAATAGGATTAACACAACACGAGCTGAGCACAACAAAATAAACATGATTTTAGTTTATCTTGCTTGAGCTTATGTTGAGTTAATTCTTAGCGCGGTAGAATATAATAAATGCCTCGGGTTTCTTATATTTGTGCTCATGTTTTTGTTGTTGATGTCTTCACTAAACTGACGCTTGTGTTCATGTCGTTAGTAAAAACCAGCCTTTACTGCGCGCAATGTTTTACTGTGTCCGAGCCTTTAGGGTGTTTATCTGGTTCACTCAAGTAGTTGGATTACAAAGTAAACAGCACAGGTACTGAAGATAACAGTATTTTATTGACGAAATAAAGCTTGTCTCTGTTGTCCATTTGATTACAATAAAAAAAATACAAAAAAAAAGTGATCTAGCCTCCCCCGTCCCTGCTGGGCTGCTTCCACTCTGCTCCGAGTCGGTGTTCATTCTTCTGTCCTCATTTGATATTCCAACTTTAAAATCCTGGTCTGTTTTATCTGATCCCTTCATTCAACCTGGGGGCAGTTGGACACTTAGAAAATTTGGCCGTTTGTCCCCAAGTGGGGAGGGCAGCGTGAAGGAAAGTGAGAGTTTGCTCCTCATGCTCTCAGGGTCTCATTCACCTTTGTCAAAATACCACACCAAATTAATTTGGAATTAAAATTAGCCAAAAGTAATTTGTAGTGAAAATTATAATTTTGTTTTGAAAGTGCGTATCTGCAAAGTCAATATATCGTGAAAAATATCCAAAGTCGTGGACAAGAAAAAAGAGGGCGCAAGACAGTGAAACTCAGTCTTCAGTGGGTCTCCGTCAACGATGCCCAGAAAATTGAACAAAGAATCGCACCGGTCTGACCGGCCTTCATTCCGCAAACTTCACCAAAGAGCACAAGTCAATAATAATCTCTCTTCTGCGAAGCTACTGATATTGGATTTCTCTCGCCCTAGTTTTTGTTTAGTATTTAGTGTTTAGACCTACATTAAAGGAAATTTGAAAGTGAAAGATAGGCAAATTGTTTTCGCATCGTTTATTATTGTTATTCTTAAAAGTCGAAATTATCTGAAGGTAATAAAGCGAAACACCAAGAAGCAAAATTTACGCAGTACTAATATAGTGCCGCGTAAATTATGCCTTAAATATTTCGTTTTATATCTTACCATTCGCTGCGCTTATAATATAATGTTGAATTCGTCTAAATCAGTGTCGCGTCGGTTTGCCTTCAAATTTCGCCAAAGTGATTAAAGAGGTCTTGCATTTGATTTAAATTTTGGCTTGTTTTCCTTCCCTTAGAAATAGTTCGATTAATTGTCTCATTGAAATAAAGGTTTATTTTTATCTTAGGAAAGTTAGTGGGAGAGAAATGTGAAGCTAGTAACATTTAATGTTTCAGTTCCTAAAAAAAATTGGATTCGATAGTAAGTCTTTAAACCCTGATGTTTCTCTGCATAATAATTATTTAAATTGTCCTATCTTTAAGTTCCCACGAGATTTGAAGCTTTAATCACGATGACCACACTAGCCGACTGTACCAGCATTGCGTGACGATCGTGACAATAGCCCAAATAGCGTAGAAATAGGGTCGTGACTGGAATGGATACTTTAAATCAGTATTCAGATAAATGACTGGAACTAGTCAAATAAATAATTTAAAAAATGATCTTTAGTATATGGTTCCAGACCTATATCCAAAACCCTAATTTGAAGCATCAATCGAAGTCACAACCGAGAACTTATCTTAACGTGAAAAGTTAATATTTATTCACATAAGGCTATCCGAAATTTAGTTCAATTTAACCTGATTTTTCACACAGCCCAAGGAAATCTATTCTATGTCCTTCCTACAAATTAAGGATATAGAGCAGACTACCACAGCTGTCTGATTAATCAAGTCTTTCCTAATTTCGAAAATGGTTTAGTATCTAAAGCTGATATTATTAGTCTAACATCAACAGCCATGTTTGTTTGCCTGTTGTTTTCAGTTAACAAAAAAACAACAGGCAAAAAAAAAGAAATGTTGATGTAACCTAAACCTAGTTTTGATAAATTTGTTATAATCTGAGGTAGGAAAAAGACGGAAATCAAACAAATTTGGACTTAACTACGAGCGTTATTTCGTTTTTTACGGTTTTAGTTAAATTTTCAGGTAGTCAAAAAATATCAGTACAAAATTTGGCAATTATGGAAATGATATATATGCTATTTTTGTTTTTAAATTTGTTATAATCTGAGCTATTCTGAGGTAGGAAAAAGATGGAAATCAAATAAATTTGGACCTATTCCGGAGCGTTGTTTCGATTGTGCGGTTTAAGTTAAATTTTCAGGTAGTGAAAATATATCAGTACAAAATTTGGCAATTATGGAAATGATTTATATCCTATTTCTGTTTTTGTGCAATATTTTGGATAGCTATTTATTGTTAGGACATCAAAAGCTTTAGGTTTAGAAGAGAAATCCTTAACCAGTTGTCCCCATTAGAGAGATTCTTAGTGACTATCAGCTCAATTTGATGTCATTTGTGAAAATCCACCCAAGCCAGGCCAATGAGATTCAGTGCTCAGTTCTCTGCCCTCGAATCATCCTTCGACACACCTACTACGTGAGCCGGGGAGCACGTTCTTGCACCCTCGTTTTTCATCCTCAACAGTGAAACATTCCCAGACATATTGTTTGCCGACAAGCAACTTTTTTGATCGAAATGGTTATTTATTTATTATTTTGGAAAAAGGTGTGGTATTATAACAAAATGAATGAAACCCTAAGAACATGAGAAGCAAACTCTCACCTTCCTTCACGCTGTCCTCCCCACTTGGGAACAAACGGCCAAATCTTCCAAGTGTCCAACTGCCCCCAGCATGAATTACAGGATCAGATAAAGTTTCCCAGGATTTCTCAGTTGGAATATCTCAGAGGACATCAGAATTCACACCTTCTCAGAGACAGAGCTTCCACAGCCCAGCAGGGACGAGGTTGGCTAGATTTAAACATGACCTTGCCCAAGTGATGGGCTCCTAATCTTGTGCGTGTGCCACCTGAGGTCTGAAATTAAATAAAACTTAAAAAAAATAATGAAGAGCTAAAGGCCTAAGAAAACAACCAACATTTTTTGACGACACCACTGGTTTCCCCATGAAATGACCCAAAAATGAAGAATAAGTGAAGAAATTCTATACTAATGATGTGTCACTACCCAGATCTGGGTAGTGCTTTTGCTTGATCGTGCCATAAGGATAATGTGTTTCAACCCTTCAGATCATTTTGCAGGGAAACCAGTGATAGCATCTCAAAAAGTCAGCTGTTTACAAAGGCTTAGCTAAAGCAAGCCTAACAAAAAAATAATAATATTAAGATAACTAATGCAAGCTCATTAGCATATTAAACAAAACTAGATATTTCTTGGTGCGACAATGAAGTGCCCTCGTGATGTAAACATGTATTCAACTAATGCTTTGGTTGTGTGCATAAAAATGGAAGTAAAAAGAATGCCAAGGAGTAAATTCCTAAAACTAACATGCCAGGACTTTTGAAAACCTATGGAAATTGAAAAAAAGGTATCAGAGAACAAATGCAACACCAAGAAAATTAATATATTTAGATAGAATACAAATGCAATCAACAGTCTGCAGTCTGTGAAACCTGTGTAAAAGAATAAATTCTCAAAAGTTAATAAAAAAATTGTTTTAGTTTTGAAATAATCAGAATTTGCAAAAACATCAGTTCTTACTACTTCAAGTTGCCTAGAAAAAAATTAAGCGGAAGCAGACTGGAGATTGCCTTAGACATTATGTACATGTAAGTCTATGAATAATCTACTTTACATTATAATACTTAAGATCCTAATTTTCCTAAGATTTTCCCCAGGCTCACCGTTTGTTAAGAATTTCCAGTTACTTTTGAGTTCCTTTTTAAAGTCTCAACAGAGACTAAAATCAATCATCAACTTATAAATAATCAAACAAAAATAAAACCATACCTACTTGATACTTAAAAAAATACATCCTTATTAGTATCTTAAGATAGGTAAGAAGGGACAGTAAGGAGAATTTCTCAATTGATATTGGGACTTCAAGAATAAAGGTCACTGTGTCTAATTGCTTTCACATTCCTATCCACACTGTGCTTTGTAGACACAGCCTGCAAATGTAGATGTATTCCAGCTGGAGCTTCCAAAGAGATGCCTTGGCTGACAAAGCTCAAGCTTACCTTTTCCCTTAATGGAAGATCATCATAAGTTTTATGGTCAAGGTGTCTACATTCCTCCCAAATAATTATATCATAGATCATAAGTTATCTGTATTGCCAGGATATTGTCCTGAACATTTAAAGATGTATACCTGTACAGTACTACTATTTTTTGCAGCCTCTATAGTCCCTGACTAAAGTAATATGTTACTTAGGAGGTTTAGAGCTAATATTGTGCTAATGAGGATGCTGAAGACTGTTTAATTCTAGCATTAAATTAACACTAACACTGTATAAGTGGAATCCTGGTCCTTTGAACCTCTTGATTAATCAAATCAAAACTTGTTTTCCTGCCCATGAAGTCACTTTATTTTTTTATTTCGCCTTGGGCTTTCTCAAACAAAAAATGGCAAGAAAAACGATGCCTAATATCTCCCTAATTCTTTTAACTTCTAGTTTTCTAAAACCAATCTCCATTTCAACAGGAGGTTCAAAAAATCATAGTTCCACGGTGTTAAGATAACACAGGAAGCACAACAACTCCTATAACGAAGACGAGTTCCAAAAGAAGGTGGATCTATGAAAAGTATTGAGTGTGTGGCGAACATTAACAAAAGGAATAAAATTAAAACAAAGGTAAAAAATACTGCCTGTGTGATTAATGTTTGCTTTGATAAGGTTGTAATGCTTCCCATGCCTCTAAAGATACAGGCAACATTGTGCTTCCCACTGTTCTAAGAAAATGAAAGTCAGTGAATGGCTACTGTATTTTGACTGGTAGTGGCAGACAATTGCCCAGTAAACTAGGCCACTCCCTCCTACACTGGCAGCACAATGTCATCAACTGTACATGTGACAAAAGCTCTATAAGCCCCAGCCTTCCCTCTACCCATCATTGACTACAGCCTCTATTTCTTGAAGACTACATTTGTAACTTGATCCCCCTATTATTACATCCTCCACAACTTACCTTGAAAGCCATTCCTTTTGCAGGAAATGTCAGGAACTGATTTCCATCCAACCAATACAAGAACATTTTGCCAGTTTGTACAAGATTATCGATCAAAATGACCACCTTTTCCCTTATTTCCTCTTATTATTGACATAAAAAATATCCTTTCTTTGCCCCCTCCCCCCAATCATTTAACCCCCCCTCCCCTACCTCTAACTCCTCCAACCCCTCCTTAAAAGGCAGATAGGGGCTTAATTGAGCTTTTACGGTTTTAGGTATGTAATCTATAAAATATGTAACCATGCCCACCCAACAGCTATAACCTTATATTAAATATTATTATAATATCATGATCACCATTATTTTAGCAAGATTTCCTTTGAGCAGTGAAGAATGAGCCCCAGGAGGGTACTTTTTGAATTTTTGGGTGGGGATGTGTCACTGGGACTCTAAACCCTTAGCCCGTACCAAAACTTAGTTCAGCTCAATTTTGCTATTCTTTACCAGACCAAACTGGTCCTAAATTATTTTTTGAAGCAATTTTGCTGTATCTAGTTAGCAGAGGAAATATTGTGTCTCATCTTTGGTAAAACTGCCAAATCCTAAGGAAATGTCATTTATAATCACTGATGAATATAATTATTCTTGGCTGCAGAGTTTCATTTACTATTGTCTTGCAAGAATGAACCCTTTTCCCTTTTCTTCCCAGAGGTGAATCTCCTTTGTAAAATTGAATGATGTATGTACTACTCAAAGGAATCTTGTGTTTGAACTTAATTTGTAAGTAGCACAAATAAGCCTCTAGATTTCTTTTCAAATTTTGCCTAAATATGATTTTTTTTGCAACAAAATAATCCAATTTGAAAACAAAACTTGCTTAATTTAAGAACACTTTCAGAATAATAAGCCCCTGTTCAGTTGCTAAATTGAACTGGATGGTGACTCATTTACTTTAAAAATAAAGAAACTGTTGATAAAATTGTCTCAGTGATGCTTATTTGTACAAATATGGTGGCACACACACTGTATAATATATCCTTCTTCTTGTAATACAGATACCTTAAGTATTCCCTCCAATAGTGAATTACAGAATTCCTAATTAAAATTTGACCTCACTATATATTCAACAATCTACTCTACAGCCGAAATGTGCTGAAGAACCCAAAGTGATTGAATTTTGAATTTGGAAAGCTGTAAATTGTGGGTAGAATTCAAAGGAAAAATATTGCAAGTGAATCAATTCACTCCTGTTGGGAATACCATGGACCTGTTTTGACTAATGCATGAAGTCTTATTTGTAGTCAATATTCTTCGGTTTTTGTTTTTTGTTTTTGGTGTTTTTTTTTCGCTGCCAAACTAAATGAATGTGCCTAATTGCTGTTGAATGGGGGTTGTGGAACAACAGCTGGGTGAAAAACCTCCCCGTACGTCCACTTGCTCCTAGGAGGAAAACCCCGGGCCAGCTGTACCCCGCATTCAATGACCTCCCGGGCTGGGTCAGAAATATTCTAAAACCAAGTACCTGTGTTGAGGCAGGGTACTGGCTGTAACTGTAAGTAATAAATTATATGATTATATAAATACTAAACTAAGTATTAATAATGAGTTGACTTTGATGATACCATCCTCTAGTGATCACAGCCTCTTCACTGTTGGCTTTTGAACTCCTGTATGGAGGCATTGATGACTGAGTCGCTGACCACTTTGCCAAATCTGTTGAAAAAAATATGAATTCATTTTCACTCATTTTGGCTTGTAGGTATTTATAGGAACAGAGTTAAGCAAGGGATGTACCAATAGTTCAACGTCTAAGATTGAGTCACAAATGTAAATGGCTTCATAGGATGGGTGAAGCTACCTGAACACATGGCACACATGTGCATCCCTAAAAAAGACTACAAGACTGACTGCAATGACTAAGATGACTAATGAGGTAACCAGGGTGACCTGAATGACTGATAACTGGGATGCCTATGATGATTGAAGTAACTGGGATAACTAAGATGACTGAGGCGACTGGGGTGCCTAGGATGAGTGGGGTAACTGGGGTGAGTAGAATGACTGGGATGATTAGGATGGCGAGGGTGAATGGGATGACTGTGATGACTAGGATAACTAGGATGGCTGGGATAATCTGGATGACTTGAATGACTAGAAGGATTAAGATTATTGAGATGTCTAGGAGGACTGGGTTGAACAGTATGACTGGGGTGGCAGATGGCTGGGATGACTAGGATGACTAGGATGATTAGGAAGACTGGGAAGAATGTGATGACTAGGATGATTGGCATGACTAGGATACTAGGACTTGGATGATTGGGTGACTGTGATGACTAGGATAACTGCGATACCTGCGATAACCAATAACTAGGAATTTTTTTATTTTATTTTAATTTTTTTTTTTATGATAACAGGGGTGACTGGGATGAAAAGGATAGGTAGAATAACTGAGATGACTGGGTGACTGGGATGATTGGGATAAGTGGGATTACTAGGATGGCTGGAATGACTTGCATCAAAAGGATCAATAGGATAACTAGTATTACTGGGATGACTAGAATACCTAGGATGACTATGTTGACAGGGGTAACTGGGATGACTGTGATGAAAAGGATATGTCAAAGAACGTCGGTGACTAGGATGACTACAACAATGAGATAACTGAGATGACTGGGGAGTCTGGTATGACTGAGATGACTAGGATGACTAGGATGACTGGGATAACTGGGGTGACTGAGATGACTAGGGTAACTGGAATGAGTGGGACACTAGGATGACTAGGGTTACTGAGATAACTGAGATAACCAGGATGACTGGGATGATTATGACTGGAATAACTAGGACAAGAAGATGACTGGGATGACAGGGAGTCACTGGGATGACAGGGATGACTAGAATGGCCAGGATAACTTGGTTGTAAGGTTCGTATCCTGTTTTGATAAAAAAAAATTCAAGTACTTTTCAAGGACAAATTTCCCATTCTTCAAGGATTCCAATCATAGCCTTGAGTATATGTCTTTTTTAGTTCTTCCACAACATGACTGCAATTTTAATTTTTATCCGAAAGGTCTCTCTGTGTTTGCTCCTTTTAGGCACTTGAGAATCTGGACTGGATAAAGTAAGCGCTGAAATCCAAGGACTACTTTCAAGGACTTTCAAGGTGCATGCGAACTATGAGGTTGACTAGGGTGACTGGGGTGACTGGAGTGACTGGGATGGCTGGGATGACTGGGATGACCGGAAAGACTGGGATTACTGGGATGACTAGATGGACTGAGTTGACTGGGATAACTGGGGTGACAGGGATGACAGGAGTGATTTGAATGATAAGGATGACTGAGATGACAAGGGTGTCTGGTATGACCGGGATGAATAGGATAGATAGGATGACTACGGTGTGGCACAAAATTTTTGCAGGTTCTAATTTTTGCATTTTTGCGATTTTTCCAGTGATCTGCAAAAATAAGTTGACTTGGATGACTGGGATGACTTGCTTGGTTAGGATGAATAGGATGACTATTGATTAAATGAGTTGGATGGCTGGGATGACTGGGATGACTAATATGACTGGAATGACCTGCATGATTAGGATGACTATTAATGAGATGACTTGGATGGTTGGGATGACTGGCATGACTAGGACAACTAGCATCACTAGAATGAATAGGCTGACTTGATTTACTGTGATAACAGGGGTGACAGGGATGATTGTGATGAAAAGGAAAAGTAGAATAACTGGGGCGACTAGGATGAATGGGGTGATGAGATAATTGAGATGACTATGGTGACTGGAATAACTGTGATGACAGGGATACCTAGAATGACAGGGATGACTAGGGTTTCCAGGATGTCTAGGAGGACTGGGATGACTAGGTAACTGGGGTCACACGGATGATGGGAGTGACTTGGATGATTAGGATGACTTAGCTAGGTGACTGGGATGACTGTGATGACAAGGATAACTAGAAAAACTGGATGACTAGGATGATGAGATAACTGAGATGGCAAGGTTGTCTGGTACAACTGGGATGAATAAGGTAGATAGGATGACTAGGATGACTGAGATCACTGGGGTGACTAAGATGACTAGGATGAATGGAATGAGTGGGAAACTAGGATGACTTAGATGACTAGGGTTACTATGATGAGAGGATGACTAGGATAACAGGGGTCACTGGGATGACTGGAATAACATGGGCGACGAGGATGACTGGGACTATTTGAATGACCAGGATGACTTGCAGGATAAGGATGAATAGGATAACTATTAATGAGATGACTTGGATGGCTGGGATAAGTAGGATGACTGGCATGACTAGGACAACTGGCATGACTAGGATAAATAGGATGACTTGGTTTACTGTGATAACAGGGCTGACAGGGATGATTATGATGAAAAGGAAAAGTAGAATAACTGGGGTGACTAGGATGAATGGGGTGACTGGGATGACTGGGATGACTAGGGGGACTAGGATGACTGAGTTGATTAGGATGACTGGGATGACTAGGGTGGCTGGGATGATTGGAATGATTGAGATGACTAGGATAACTACAATAACTACAGAGACTGGGATGATAAGGATGAATGGGTTGACTGAGATTGCTAGGGTAAGAGACTCAACAGTGGTGACTTTGTTGACTAGGATGAATAGCTAGGGTGGGTGGGATAACTACAATGACTAAAATAATAAGGATACTTAGGATGATTGGGATGACTGGTGACTGGACTGTAAAGAGGACTATGATGACTGAGATGAGAAGGATTACTGAGATAGCTACAATCATGGACAAAAGTCCTTGGGACAGTAATGCAATAATCATATTTTTCATCTGGGTTCCCTCATAAAACAGTGCATTCTTTTTGAAATTTTCCTGCAGTTCTCCCTCTCCCCCCACCCCCCACCATATACAAAGCTGAAACTCTAAAAAAAGTTGCCCATCCAACTTTGTTTGTGGGGCGAGGGGAGCAAATTATTGGGACTGTGTGAATTGGAAAATGCCCCAGAAATACAAAAGTGTCCCAAGACTTTTGTCCATGATTGTAAGATGACAGGAAAGACAAGTGAGACTAGGGTTGCATTTGAGTGGGAAATCCAGATTTCAGATTTTGCAATCTAATGCGAAATCTGACTAGGGTAACTGGGATGACAGGAGTGACTAGGGTGACTTGGATGACTAACATGAGTGGGACAACTGAGTTGGCTTGGATAACTAGGATGAGTAGGATGACTGGAAAAAGCTGGATGGGTAGGATGAGTGGGATGACCTCATCTTTAGAAGAAGCCTTAAAAAGATTTGATACTTTGTGGGATTTGGAAAATTGTGTGTAACTCTGGAAAAATTCTCAACAGAATGTATTAGTCTTATACAAGTTAAGAAAGTTTAAAAAAAGGAAAAAACTGATACCTTAAATGCCTGACATCACCAATTGGGAACCACGATCCCTCTAGCTTCTTGAGATGTCTTCCCTTTAATTGCAGAAACGTTTTTGATATCCTACTTGTGATGGGCAAAGAATCTTCAGGAACATCACCAAATGGGAGGGGTTCTGTTAAATGGCTAGAGATGCAAGAAATAATACAGGTAAATTTGACTGTTAGGTAGAAAGGACAAATTACTCTCCCTACCTATAATAATTATTATTATATGGATGTCCATTTTTCTGCAATACTGTTTCCTACCAGAATAAATAAATGAAGTCTTCCTTCTTTTCAAAATTCATTGAAGATTATAACAAAAAGATTTGCCTGCAATGTTAACTTTCTATACTTTAGTACTATTTTCAAATTTTGTGATCTGTCAACAGCTTTATGACATTAATTTTTTAAGTAAACAAGATAAGCAATTACCAATAAAATGACTGTGCAAGAACAGTTGGGTGATTATAAACTCCGCAAACGTGTGCTTCCTCATTAGCTTAACCCCACACTTGGGTCATTTTCCCAAAGTCATGGAACTGGCTGGCTGGGCCATGGCCAGACTGGTAATTTTGACAATGAAATAGGCTTTTACCAGGAGTTTTTCATGCATGCTGTTTAGGATACGTCTGACTGAATAGTTTTGATTAAAAGTGAAATTCTCATTGGGACAGGAATGGTCTGGCCGGTAAGTTCTGACAAATAATGCAAAGCACCCTCAGTGACCTCGCAGGCTGGGTCATAGACAGAGTGTAAAACCAAGTCACAGTAATGAAGTAGGGTAACTATTAGTAATAAATTCTTCCTGACAGCATGCAAACCATAGGGAACCCAAGCTCTTATTTGTAAACTACAAATGGAAATTATATAAGAGATAAAATCTTACCTGTTTTGTTCTACTCTTGAATCTGCTGCAGTGTGAAGTGAAATGGAAGTTGTTTTATGATGCAAAAACAATGTACAAGTCCACGCTTTGACTGTTGTTGATTTCACTAAGCAATGCTTTATGCAGTTTGTCTTGCATTTTTCCGTCGGTCTACTCTGACCAGTTTGCCTCATTTGTTGTCTTTTTCTGCCTGAAAAAATAAATAAACCATTTTTATCAGCACATAATTGAACTGGTGTTGACATGATAGTCACTTGCAAAAAATTAATTTTCAACACTCCTTGCAATCCATATAAACACCTTATGAACATGAATAAAGTATGACATTTGCTAGATGGAGAGGATCAACCATTTAGATTTAAGAAGTTGGAACACTTTGACACCAAATGAGCTTGAAAAATGTCAGGACTTAAGTGTGATAATGTTCCATTTAATGGCACAATAGCTTAAAAACTAATGGCTCTCACTCATTCTTAAACCCACTTATAGATCAGATGTTTGGATATCACATATAATATCTGCTTTATGTCTAATGACCAAATCCAAACAATGCTTGTTCTTAAACCATTAACTCTACGGTAGAGAATTAACTCTCGTCTCAAGTATGATAATGGACAATTAAAATACCCTTCAGTAATAAAACAGATTTTTGTAGAATGTTTTGTTTGCACAATTTTCCAAATCCTCCTCCACAAATCCTTAAAGTGCAAATCTTTTCCAGGTTTCTTGATTAAAGGAGAAGTTACATTGTAAGATGAAACATTATTAAACTGTATATGAAATGACATAACAGGAAGTTGTAAAAATCATAAATTGGCTGTCATTTTATTCCACCAACAAGCTACTATTTTGTTTAACTAATTGTTTTACACTAACAAAAGCACCCTACATTTGCATAATTGTGCCCTACTTCATCTACTCTATCTCAGTCATCCTTGTCATCACAGTAACCCCAGTCATCACAGTCATCCTAGCCAACCAATTCACACCAGTCATCCCACTCATCCTAGTAATCTAAGTCATCCTTTGTGTCATCCAATTCATCTTAGTTGTCCCAGTCATTCTATCCTAGTCATCCCAATCACCCTAGCTATCACAGTCCCAGTTATCGCAGTCACTGTAGTTGTTCAATTCATCCTTGTCATGCTAGTCACCCTGATCATCCCAGTTGCCCCAGTCACTCTAGTTATCCCAGTCATTCCAGCCATCACAGTAATCACAGTCATCCTAGTCAACCCAGACATCCCAATCATTCCAGTCATCAAAGTAATTATAGTCATCAAAGCCATCACAGTCATCCCAGTTATCATAGTAATCCCTATTATACTAGTCATCATAGTCATCCGAGACATCCCATTCATCAAAGTCATCTTAGCCATTTCAGACAACTGCGTTATATCAGTCACCCCAGTCATCTTAACCATCTGAGTCATGCCCGTCATCATCGTTATCCGAGTGATAACAGTCATCCTCGTCATCCCAGTTTAAAGTCATTATAGTCATACTAGTCATCCTAGTTATCCCAGTCCCCCTAGTTGTCCTTGTCATCCCAGTCATCACAGTCATCACAGACATCCCAGTCACCCTGGTCATCCCAGTCACCTTAGCTATTTTAGTCATCAGTCAACCTAGCCATCTCAGTCATCCTAGTTATCAAAGTCATCATAGTCATCCCAGTTATCATTGTCATCTCAGTCATCTTCTGGTAATTCCTGTTATACTAGTCATGGTAGTCATCCCAGTCAACCTTGTTAATAAGGTCATTCTAGTCATCCTTGAACCAACTCATCCTGGTACCCAGTACTTAAATTATCCTGCACAGTCACCCTATTCATCAGTCACCCTTGCTATCCTTATCATCCTCATCATCCTATTCTTTCTCATGGGAAAAAATGTGGACTGCAGACTATGTTGGTGAAAACTGTGCTAATTGGTTCTAGGTAAGGGAAAGTGAGATCAAAAGATTGCTTAAGAGCACAACAAGTGATTTTAAGTATAAATACTCCTGGAAATTCTTGGTGGAGGTGTGCCGCCCAGTTCTCTAAATCCTGAGCCTGACCACAATGCCATTTTCTACACCCATTTTCAGACCTGTTCTCGGTCTCTAATGTCATCCATGACAGAGGTCACAAACACAATGTACATGTTTACATAGGTGTGAATAATGTCATCATCCCTTAGAATATAATGTTGGATGATATATTTCAGTTATTATTCATGTATATATAGGTGAGTAACCCCTCCCCCTAAATAAAGCTTTTTCGCATCACAGAATGCCCCTATATCGACCTTCTCGTCTGGGTTCTTCATTTCCTCATATCCCCAAGGCTTTGAAATGGAATTGTGGCATCCATAAGAATTTTACTCTCTCTAACACCGATACTATTTTTTTTCTTTGGTGCTTCTCAGTTTCACCTCTTCTATTCATTTAAAACTACAATAATTATTTGAATTCTTTTCTAACTGCCCCTCCTTTTTATAAAATTCAGAGTTTCATTTTCAGTTGCATTGAGTAGGGCTTAACCTTCCTTGCCCGTGCAGTATGCTTTCCTTCTCCACACTGATGTTGGCAGGAATAGACTGCATGACCAGCCAAGGAGTTGGGACTACTGTTTTATGCTAGTCTGCTATCCGTTTCTCTCAGTTTTACCTTTCTAAAGCTGTTTTTGTATACAAAGTCTGTTGTCCATATTTTATGCCTAGTCCACGTTTTATACTGGCTGCTTTCTTATTATCCTAGTCATCTTAGCCATCCAAGTTATCACTATCTTCTTAGAAAACATAGGCACGTTAAACGTGCATGAGCTATTTTGAATGCTTCAGTGTAACTATAATACTTTGGTGTAACCTTACCAAGAGTGATGCATCTACCTTTTTCATCCTAAATGTAGATTTGGTTTTTGTGCAAAATTGGCTATTGCGCTACATAAATGAAAACGCGAAACGCTCAGCTGAGTCGATCCTCAACCTATATTTTCACTTTCCTCTGTCTTTCCCTGTTACATCTGGTGCAAGTTAAACAAATTGTTGAAGTAAAATAAATTTCTACTCACCAAACGTTGATTAGAAGCAAAACTCTAAGGTTTCCGCGGAGTTTCTCAAGCCAAAATGTGACTCATCGAATACTGAATAGTTACGAAATACCAGGATTTTTATCATTGTGGCAGATGGTTGCATCATCATAATTCACGAGGTTTTCACGTGCGATTCTACTCAGTGAAACAGTCTTTAACTCCGACAACTTGTTTCTTCATGTTTTAAAAGCTATTGCTTCTTAAAAGACAAGAGCCTCTTTTAAGGCATTGGTTACAAAATGAAACAGGTCTTCATACGTTCAAGTTACTATTTATCATTGTGAAAAGCCAATCTGCATGAGATGTACAGTCACACAGGTGGCACGTGAAAGTGTTGGACTTTGTCCCCTTTCGTGGTTCGTACGTGAGGGAATTCAAGTTATCACACAGTAATCTAGTAAACAGAATTATAAAAATAACTCATGCACACAATTTGCATGTGAAGATGTTGGTCTTTGGCCCTTTTACAATTCGTACGTAAAAAAAAGGCAAATTGTTTCACTACAAAATTTTCTCAAGCGATTTTAAGAAATCACCTCGGCTTTATTACAACACCTGCAATTAAATTATGTTTCATGCAACGTCAAGGTTGATAGCCTAACATTTATTAACTACCAAGAAAATTATCAAACTGCCGAAATATATTTCTACTTGTATCATGTTACTCCACTCAATACAACAGTATCTAATTTTGTGTCAACTAGCTTCTTCCAATTTTATTCCCTAACGCTACTGTTTCCACTTAAATTACTCATCTTTACTAAATAAAATAGGTTTCAGAAACAATAATACTTAGTATGCAGGAAGGATGTATCATGTTGTTCACTTATTATTCTTTTTTTTTTGTTTTGCCAGAACGAAAAAGGTCTGTTGAACTTTGTAAGCGA